AAAATAAGAGAAGGTAACACTCAGTGAAAGGAAACAATGATAATTTTTGGACAGACAAAGAAAAAAAATACACATAACATGAACTGTGAAATCAGTTGTCAAAGAATTCTCTTTGTCAGTAGAACTCCAAGTTTTGCTAATAATAAAAGTTGAAACATTAAAAGTGAATGGAAAAGAAAGAAAAAGGGAAGATAACAGAGTGCTGAATAACAATGCTGCTTAAAAGCTTAACTTAGTATTCATATTTTAGCTCCCATGGGTATTTTCTTCTATATTTCTCTGAAGTATCTGCTTCTGGTTGCTGAAAACAAGGCTAGGTGGAACACATGTAGGAGGAACCTGTCCTCTGCCAGTTCTGCAGTGCTTCCTATTTTCTTACCTCTAGCCACAACAACCAAAGAAATATACGGTTCCTTGTTCCTTCTCAATATATAGCAGACTGTACGCTATAATTATAGGAGAACTCTTCCTCATCTCAGCACTGTAATATACCTCTGAAAGAACAATGGAGAAAAAGAGCCTTCTCATATCTAAGCTTTGCATTTGCTCCAAGGGAAACAACCTGGATTTGTACTGTTTATTTCAGCAGAAACAAATTCACGCTACAAGCAGTCAGTCTAAAGGGGACTTAGCAACTTGCTCATTTTTAGCTGTCCAGGCCTATCGTGGGTAAAGTCAGGGAGTCCATTCTGGAAAATGAGACCACGCTGCTAAAGTCATCAGTTATCACCACAGTACCCAAAAAGCCAAGGGAGCATCCACAGGCTAATATCCACTGATACGATTTTGCAGTTAATGAAGCCCTTAATTTGCATTTGCATTTCTGTCTTTCATGCTAGAGTAAAATCTGCAACTCAGGATGTACCTTCTGGAAGTCCTTTTGTGAACTGTTTTTACCTAAATCCTCTCCTAGTCATCTTTTTCTCCAGGAGAGTGAAGCTCAAGCTGGAGAGCAGAATGGCTGAGGCCAACAGAAAAACGTCCATTGCACTGTTAGGCTGAGTTCAGCAAGACCAGCTGCTCGTGTTTTAGGGACTGAATCTGTAATGCAATTGTAATGTAGTCAACACCCCAGGCCCACTATCGCTTCTAAAGGAATCAATTCCTTGTCCTCCACTGCGTGGACTAACATGGATATCTCAAGTGCTGAGCATGCTAATCATCTGTTCCTTAAGTCCGCCTTGATCAAGCTAAGAGCACGACGACTGAAAGACTACTTCCTACCTTATGCGTTTCAGGGTTTAGTCATCCAACAGTTCCTGCTAGACCTTTTTGAAAAGTTTCAGTCTTCTCTGGAAAACAGGGCATCCCTTGGGGAATACAGCCTTTAGTCCCTTGTTGCTAGCATGCTACTTAGCAAGAGGAATAGCTGTTCTCCCCATTAATCCTTCACGAGTCATTTAATGCAGACCTTAAACACCCCTCATAGGATTCTCTAATTGTAAATTTCAGTTGGGTGCAAATATAATTTTTTTTAACCATTCCTCCAAACCAGGAGAATAGCTCCTGTTTCCCTGCAGAGAACTGAAGATGGCTTTAAGGGAGAAGCATGCAGATAAACTTTTTTTTTTTATGGTCCACACACATACAAAAAAAGAAAAGTTTCCCAGGGTTAACAGATTCCCAGGGTCCAAGATATGCTAAACACAAAGGAACAGATCTGTTGCTTTAATATTTAAAATTCTTATTTAAATAGTGTTATCAAATTTCTAATACCACTTTTCTAAAAGATGATCTCTCATTCACAATAGCAAAAGCATTTGTTTTGCGTAACAATGAAGATGACAATTATAAACGTTTACATATAATTTCAACCCAGATACTGAGTGATCAACAAAATCCATTTCTTCCACACAACACAGCTTAAAAGTAGATTGACCCACAGGGATCTTCAGACTGCTGTGGATGAGTCCCCAGTGCAGCTACTTTTTTGGTTCTAAGTCAGGAGCTGTGCAGATGAATTTATTGTTTCCCTGTCAATGCGGGTCAATCTCCCAAGCCCCTGGAAGCTCCCAAAGGAGGGGATCCTAACTGAGGGGAAAAATTAGGTTATAATACATTGTAGAGGGTTCAGGACAAAACAGCATCTTTTCCCAGGTCCACACAAAGCCCCACAATTTGTGTGGCCTTTTCCTCTCAAACACAGATTTTCAAATGTGGGATGTGACTGTCAGTGTTCTGAGTTTAAATGCCCAGCTGTAAACCTCTACATACGGGTATACTTAAAGATTAGAATCACTCAGAGTGAAAGCCTACTGCTAAAAATAGGAGTTTTAAGTCTTTGTGACTCATTCTCCTCATCTGTAAAGAAAATATAGTATTACCTACCATTAGAAATGCCGTGACAGTTATTCAAGGAAACCCTATATGCCATGTAAATCCATCCATTATATACATACAACACAGTAATATTATCAACTACAGGAAAACTGAGGCAGCTCATCTCAATTTAGGATTCCCCTTTCCTGCCAAAATGGCTCACTGTTAGAAATGGTCTAGGATAACAAATGAATAGGTGGATACTAACATCTTTGGGGGCAAGTCACAAGAAATTAAATGCAACAATCAAGTCTTTAAATATCTTAAGTATAAGTGAAGTATAAGATATTGCATAATTTTAATTTTTAAAAGGCTTTTACATCCTCCTAGATTGACTCCATGGTACATTAGAAGTTGATAAATGATTTTGGGAAAAGTATTTTAAAATACCACTCTTCTGGTGACAAATTGGCAAACACTGTGAGATGTTACTATTAGCTTCTGCAGTTACTGGCAGCTAAGGTCTTTTGCAGTTTCCTAGAAAGAGAATATACATGATTAATATTACACAATTAAAGGTAACTAACCACTGCCATTTTCACGTCAGGCTGTCTCTCTCCTGATAAATTCAAAAGTACATT